TATTTATTGGGATTCGAATCGAACCTTTATTGGCATTCTTTAAGCAATTAACTATGGAAAACCTTTCCTGAGAAGTATAAAAACTGACATTTTTGGCTTTTGACTGACGCTATATAGTTTATACGTACTATATGTTTTACAACGTTCTGTTAGATATCAATGTAATTGGTCGCATCAGTTTTCCTATCGGCGACATTGTGTTTTGACCATCATTGTGCCCTATGTTGTTGCATGGTACATTAATAATGTACCATGGTACATTTTTGAAATAAGTGAAATGTATGAAATAAGTTATGGGCATAACTTATTATTGGTAGCCAATGAGTATCGGTACCGACTGTTCCGCGGGCAGCTCACACACAGACTTGATTTTTTATTTTCTGACAGAGCCCTTGTGGAGGTAGACTCCGTGACCGAAGTCATGTGGTGGCACTTCCAACTATACGCAGCTGCTATTATGTACAGACTACAGAGGTCAGCAATCTAGATCACATATTCCAACTTCATACCTTCGGCAACTTGTAACCCACCCGTGGAGTTCAGGCACAAAAAAAATGGTACCGTGCGTCGGACCTAATCTGTTGTGCAGCTTTAGCCTTTAGGGCAAGTGATCAATGACCTTTATCTGACCTCTGTAGGTCAAGCCGATAAGAGAGTAACGATGAAAACTTGGGCACAGACTCTCTCGCCAAGAGCTATTCACCGTCCAGTCTAGTTCCAGTCTCCACACTGCACTGTACGGCAGACACAGTGCTGTAGTAAGGCCGCCGGCTAATGGACCTTATTTGTCTCCCCAGGGCCGAGTGAAGCGGTGGTGCCGTGGTCACCTTTATTCTCTCAGCACTCAGCCAGCTGTCGTAGAAAAACCCCGACAGTTTCCCGGCCGGCCGGTTCAGTCCGGTGTTTTCCAGTTCAAGTGACGTCAGGCACCGATGACGACATGTATTTTCCTCTGTGTGCCGGTCCCCGGGCGCTGGGAAACACCGGCGGTGGTTAGCGGCGGCTAAATAATACAGCGGCGCGACGAGCCGCACGTCGAGCGGAGAGGAAATGGTTGGGGCGCGAAATGGAGGGGATTTGATACCTGAGGAAACTGAGGATTGGTTGCCGTCTTAGGGTTGTTACTTGTTCTGTCTTTCGTGTCCCTCCGCCATACGCCAGTGCCACATGCTGCTGAATCGACCACAAGGTAACATTTCCAGTCTCCTAACGACAGGGACACCTGCAAAATCGGCTGAACGAGTCTGATGCAACGGCTATAAACCGGTCTCGAGGAGTGGCTGACAACACTCAGTGAACTATCAGAAGTGGTAAGTAACGGCATGGGCCATTGGCACAGACAAATGCACGTTTGCATTGCCATTGGAGCTCAAGAAGACGTGATCTATCATCTATTCTGCATAACTTGACCAAAGCTCATGTCCAAGAGCACAGTGCACAACGCTGGAGAGAAAAGTTATTTCATTTAAATAGGTATCTGATATTCGATTGGCTTTATAATCCATATCTTTCGATCCGTATAGCACAGGCCACACGACTTCTAACTGGGACAACGTTCCGAGCTGGCTCAGACGAGCTATGTATGTCGTCCGATACGCTCAGTCTATTCATATTACCTTACAAAGCAGTCTACCTAGCGCGGTGTTCCGTGGTGTCCGTTACAGTCTACCTAGCGCGGCGTTCTGTGCCCTCCGGTACAGTCTACCTAGCGCGGCATTTTATGCCGTCCGGTACAGTCTACCTGGCGCGGCGCTTTTTTTTAATTTAGTCCGAACCTTTTGATAGGAAGGATTCATAAGGACAGAGCCACCGCTAAGTGAAGTTTGTTGCGGTGACCCTGCCCTCTACCCTCCGGTCGCGCAATTCCAGTTCTAGTTATGACAGAATTTAGAGTCCAAAGTTTAACGTGCGCACATTGCCACGCACGGCCGGTACCCTCACTGACTTCGCCTGGCTACGGCCTGCCACCAACCGCAACCATATCTGTCAGGAGGCCCATAAATGTCCAGCGCCCGTCGCGCTTCGAGGACTGTTATAATGTGACCGGGATGCGTGCTCTGACCACGCGGAGTCCAATGCCCTACCAACTGAGCTACGGGACCGTCTCACTTTTGTGCCGTCCGGTACAGTCTACCTAGCGCGGCGTTCTGTGCCGTCCGGTACAGTCTACCTGGCTCGGCGTTTTATGCCGTCCGGTGCAGTCTACCTAGCGCGGCATTACGTGCTGTCCGGCACAGCCTACCTAGCGCGGCGTTACATGCCGTCCGGCACAGCCTACCTAGCGCGGCGTTACGTGCCGTCCGGTGCAGTCTACCTAGCGCGGCGTTACATGCCGTCCGGCACAGCCTACCTAGCGCGGCGCTACGTGTCGTCCGGTGCAGTCTACCTCGCGCGGCGTCCACTGCCCAACAACAAAATTTAAATGCGCCGCAACGTGTACAAGTAGCAACTGGAGTGTTTGGGAGAAAATTTGAGATAACTAGTCTGCCAAGGATGATAGGTGCTCTCTTATATTATACTCTTGCAGCGTCCAATATCGCCCGGCGAGCACAGCCGGGGCCGAATGTGAGGGGCTGGGGCAACCGATCTTGTCGGATATTGATTTCTTTCGATGCACTCATGGGCATAAGCCGAGTAATGCTGAGCATCGTATCCTAAACGGGGTAGGCATAGTCTCTGTCTCACGACTCCCGTTGTGGCCATCAGGCGCCAGTGCATTGCAGGAAAATCATTTTAAAACCAAAGCCAGCGCTCAGCCCGTACTTCCTCGGCATGTCTGCTGTTTCAAAAGTCGGAGCTCAGGGCCGCCAGGTCGGGGAGATGAATAACAGCGCGCGACTCCCGCGGTGCGGCATTCATGGCGCGAGGTCAGTCAGCGGGCACGCCCAAGGTGAAACCGCCGAACGAACGGAACCTGCGAGTCATGCAGCTGGTGCTGCGGCGTGCCGGCGCGTGCTGAGGGCGGGGTGACAGGCGCCGGGCGTGGCCGGGCAGGAGGTTGACGGGCACCGCCCAAAGCCGGGAACAAGCCAAGGATCTCTGTGTGCCGCCGTCTCAGCGACGGCGGCTATGTTCGCTCACAGCCAAATCCAGAGAGGTCATTTAGTGAGACCGATGAATCTAAATTACGGCGGCCAGTGCATCATAAATTACCTACTGAATCGCTGCATCACCGTGATACGGGCGATGCATGTAGCATGTCCGTGTCGAGTATCCGTTTATGAGATTCAGTGCAAGACCGTCGGTTAGAACTGCTCGATGGCCTAGGTTGACGTTATACATATATGATAATTCTTTATGTAGCGCCCAGCGACTCGTACCTAATTGGCTGATTATCATCACTTTTTTTGTGAGAACGTTAACTCCCTCCTCACACACATCGTCCGTCTAGTTATCTCGGTCGACCGCCACCGTACTCGGTATACACGTCCCGGGAGTAAACGGGGGAAATATAAGAAGCACCCCGGTCAGTGCCAGTGGAAGGTGACTGGATACGCGAGCTCCTAGCTGAGGCTAGGTAAGGTCCTACAAGGCAACATCTACCACTGCCGCGATGTAACGCTTGCAGCTTAATTACGTCAAGTGCCCTACACTGTATGGCCCTGACGGAACGGTTGTCGAATACCGCGGTGCCCTGGAATCCGCCTTTTAACTACCGAGCCAAGTAGGTACTCGCGGTTGCGAAACAAATCGGTTGCACAAGACCCGCACGCAAGCGATAAAGGCCTTTCCGGGAATTCGGTCATCTACACATTTCGCACGGCGTCGGGTTATGCCAGCTCAGACGGTTCGAGAAATGAGAATGACAACTTACAGTGATGTCATTCAGCTGCAACCGCTTTGTGAGATGAATGCGACAACTTACCAGTTGTAGGTATAAGTGTACGCTCACACCAGGCAACCGCAATCATTTCTTATACGACAGTTCACATACCAACGCGTACTTATTGCATGTCACAGATGAGGTTCTCTGCTCGCTCGACATTTTATCTTTCAAATGTACAGTCCCGTTCCTTATCTCGGATCTTACTTTTATCAGCTCGTTTATGCATGGAGCTTGTGACTATTTCATCGTTTATATAAACGCATAAATCTTTAGCCGTATTAACGATTTTGATGGATTTGGACTTCATCCCAAACACGGCATGCCCAAGGACAGCCGGGTTTAAATAGCCATGTCCTCGGAGCACTTAAGGCCGTGTTACACTGCCGAATTTTGGCCAAGACCCTGTCGCCGAATCACGTCGTGTAGGAAATCGGCGAACAGTTCACCGACAGAGGCGAACAGTTCGCCGACAGAGCCCGATTTGCAGAAAACGGGTGGGGGGCCCCCCTAATCGTGCGCGGGTCGAAGCTGATCCATGATTCGGCGAACATCGCGAATGAATGGCGAATCTGTTGCGAATAGTCGGCGATACCTTGGCAACAAGTCGGCGCACGCAGCGACATGTCGGCGGCGACTCGGCGACTGTTTGGCGATCATGTTCGTTTATTATAAGTTCGGCGAACGGCCACGAAATTTTCATTTTTCATGAAATATTCGTGGCGGTCGTGACGAACCGTAAAAGTCGCGCGGTGGACAACGACTGGTCTGCGAAATGCCAAGACATTGGAAGAAAGATCCCGAATCGGTCCGCGACATAGGATGACTTGCATATTCGTGCACATTCGTGTACCAAAATTCGGCAGTGTAACAAGGGCTTTAGCGCCAGCCAGCCTCGACTGCGATTCTCACTAGTCTCAAGACCCGGCGCCGCTGGCACGGGGGTTCGCGGAAAAACCTAATGAGACGGTCCGTTGTCATCCAGGCATCATCCGGCTGTCACGAAAGCTGCAGACTTAACCGTCATTATTCCTACCCAGCGATCACGTTTTACCTGTTTGCCGTCGGGAAAATTCGTCACGCAACACGAGCGTGCAAGCCAAAGACGGCTATCATTTAGCATACCAGTCAACAAACCGAACAGACGGATCATACGACGCCTGTGCAAAAACTCCAATCACGTACATCAGTTGACCATATATTGTGCCACTAGGCCATCCAGCCGACACCACCGGTAAAGACGGCGACCGCGCGCGACTGACCGCTCTCTCCCACTCACACTCTCCCTCACAACCCGTCTCGCTGCGCCCTGACCACAATACTGCGACAAGTGTGGTCAGCGCGGCACCATCCGCTCAGCACGATCATAGATCCGAAATTCATCCGTTAACCGGCGAAACAGAACAGTGACGACACCCACAACTGGGTCCGAGTGCGCGTGACATAATCACAATGGCGTCCTCCCCTCCCCGATCCGTGCAGAGGACCCTCCCCGGTCCGTGCAGAGGACCCTCCCCGTCCGAGCAGAGGACCCTCCCCGCTCCCCAGTCACTGAGTGTGCTCTGGCCAGATCAAGCTGGCGGGGTTCGGACCCACCCCGCCCCTGTGCAGCACCGTAACAGACACATTGCGATTATCAGGTCACTGGGGCGACATTCCGGCGACACATTTGCACCTCTAATTTCTCCACCGACGGGCTTGGCGACAACAGCTTCATCGTAAGTCGCCCGGCTGTCGCCGCCCGTTTGGAGATGCAAACTGCCATCCCTGGCCACGACTACTGCACACCAAAGACTAGACCACCTACACTGGCTCGCGAGTCGGCGAGCCGGGCTACCATACGTGTGTCTCGCGCACCTCGCTAATGATGGTGCTGGCGCGCTGCAGGGCGCGCAGCATCTCAGCACTCTCCCTACGCCGCTGCGCGATGTGAGGAGACTCCGACAGCAGTGTGTCGATCTCACTGGGACTGTACAGCTTAGAGACCAGCTCTGACTGCACGTTGTCCTTGACATAATTGACCAGGAAGTGCATGATCGCCTTAGGCACCGTGTCCTGGATGGACTTCCGCACGATGTAGAAGTACGATTTGATGAGCCGTTCGATCACCTCACAGTCCCGCTGTTCCCGCTCCGAGAGTTTGCGGCCCGGTTGGGAGGGTACCTCCGGCAGCAGGTTCACGGGCTTGCCGGGCGTTCCAGCCGGGGTGGAGGGCGCTGCACCGTTGGCGGTGGTGGCGCCGTCTCCGCGGCCCTGGTGCGCCGGCGTCACGGGCGGGGTGTTCTCTGCCGAGGCCGCCCCACTCTCCTCACCGCGCGAGGGCAGCAGCTGCGCCAGCCAGTTGGAGTTGGCCATCTGCGAGTCGCTGTTGTACTTGACTATCCGATTCCTGGGCTGCAGCTCGTCCTCTGCCGACTTTATCATGGGCACCTGGGCGCCGGGCGGGGGCGGCGGGCGCTGGCCCCGGTGCCGGCCCGACGCCAGCCGACCGTGGTCCTCCTCGGCGTTCTTGATCAGGCTGGAGACGAGCGCGGCGTCTTTGTGGAAGTCCGGGTGCTTGGTGTTGATGTAGGAGAGCTCGATCTGCACCAGGTTCTCCACCATCTGGTTGGTGGGCGGCAGCCGCACGCGCAGCAGCTGCGTCACCACGTCCACGATCCGCTCGTGCAGCTTGGGGAAGCGCAGCATCTCCTGCTGCACCTCGGTGCCGCAGTGCTGGATGATGCGCTGCATCTCCTCGTGCGCCAGCTCCACGCAGCGCAGCGACGGCTCCTCCAACCGGCGGATCTGACGCTTCACCAGCAGCTCAAACGACACCTGCCGGTGGAAAAACAAACTGTTAGTGACGCCCGCCCGCCTTTGGAAGGGGAGCATCGCAGCACCCAACTAGCGAGAATCGCTATTACACGGCAGCAGATGCCGTGTCAGCAGCAGCTTATTGGAATATTAGAAACCAAATACCTCTAAAATAAATAAAGGTAAGCAAATGCGCTGAAATAATTAAATATGGTTCGCTTAAGGACCAGTTTTACTCAGTCACAGGAGAAGGTGCTGCATTAGCCTTCAGAACGCAATAAGCGGACAGGTGATGCATAAAACATTTCCCCCGCTACATTAGACAAAAACAAGTGTAACACACCGCAAATAGGATGCACGTCATTAACCACGGGCTAACCAGCGTCACACATCATGCCTGAAACCAAGCCCGATTTGAAGGCTAAACGGCAACCGAGAACCAGGGCGACGGAAAAAGAAAACGGGCGGTGGGGTGAGCCTAATGCAAAAACTGGATGGAGAAATAGCGGAGACAACGTACAAACGCACTACCATCGTCGCTGAAAAGGTCGTCACCCGTCATCCGCCCCCCGGTGCGAAAAGTTAACACTAACACCCAACTCGGGAAGGTATGAACTATGAGAAGTTACACACTGTCACCCACCTTGGGTATGAAGAGCTGCCGTTACATGTAACCCACCTCGGGTATGAAGAGCTGCCAGCACATGTAACCCACCCCGGGTATGAAGAGCTGCCATTACATATAACCCACCTCGGGTATGAAGAGCTGCCATTACATATAACCCACCTCGGGTATGAAGAGCTGCCGTTACATATAACCCACCTCGGGTATGAAGAGCTGCCATTACATATAACCCACCTCGGGTATGAAGAGCTGCCATTACATATAACCCACCTCGGGTATGAAGAGCTGCCATTACATACAACCCACCTCGGGTATAAAGAGCGCCGGCCGCGGCCCGGTGGCGTTCCGGATGGCAGTCAGAATGTCCATGGAGGTGAGCCCGGTCAGCGGGTGGATCGAGTCCAGCACGCGGCCGAACGTCTCGTGGAAGATGTAGCAGATGCGCGCGCCGCCGCACAGCTCGGTGGTCTCAATGTTACGCGCCGTGCCCTCGATGGTCTGACAGTAGGCCGACGCGAACTTGGTGATGATCTGCAGGAGGGTACGGGCCTTGTCGGACACGTCCTCGCCGTAGGAGTTCAGCAGCGACTGGAACTGCGCCGCCATCATATTGACGCGCGTCTTCAGGTCGGGCAGGCAGTCGCGGATGTGGTGCATCAGCAGCCGGTTCAGTGTCTTGCCCAGGTACTGGGAGCCGTTCCGTGCCGCCAGTGACGGGTATTTCCGCTGCAGGAAGGCGGCCTCGTCTCGCAGTGCGTCCTCGATGCTCTTGTTCTTCTGGATATCCTGCTGGGAGCGGTTGACCACGCCGATGATGCCCAGTTTGACGGGGATCACCTTGCCGCACAGCATGTCGATGGCGTCCGTGCCCGCGTCCATCAGGTCCAGTTTGGTGATGACCGCCAGCGTGCGCCGACCGTCCGGGTCCACGTCGCGCGCGAACTTGAGACTCTCGGCCGTTGACATGTCGATGTTGGCCGCCGTCACCGCCAGGATGATGCTGTTGGGGTTGGTGATGTATTTGACGATCAGCTCCTCAATCTGACGGTCGATGTCATCGGGCTGGTCGCCGACAGGCACCTTGGTCAGCCCCGGCAGGTCCACTAGGGTCAGGTTCACCACCTTTGGCGAGAAGATCTTCAGGTTGATGGGCTCGGGGCAGATGCCCTTATTGGTGCCGGCCCGTTTGTCCGTTTCCAACTCGATCTCCGCTCGCACATCGTCCAGGTCTTTGAACACCTTCTTGCTGTGAAGGAACTTGCCGAACTCTGGGGCGTCTAGCGTTCCCTCCTCGGCAGTCCGGTGCTCGCGGTCATCGAGAGGCGTGTGCACGAGCTGCAGCACCAGCGGACACCGGGTGACGATGCCCGTGCCGCGCGGCAGGAACGAGCGGCCCACCAGGCTCTCCAGCACAGAGCTCTTGCCGGAGCTCTGCGAGCCGACCACCACAATCTGCGGCAGCTGGATGGCGTCGGAGCCCACCGTGCTGAACACGTCCTGCAGCTTGTTCAGCACCGGGATCAGCGCCTCCATCGCCGACATCCTGCCGCAGCCGGTGCCGTCCGGCGGCGTCCGCCCAGGTCGGAGCAGTCCGGTCACACGACAGTGCTCAGCTCACACACGGCTGAAACATACAGTCGCCTATGACTACAACGGAGTAACGCACAATGCACACATTATTTACTGAATATTCCAAGATGAAGTTACTTGGCTAAAAGAACATGTTTCGAGTTTTCTGACTAGGTGGAGACATAAACAGTTTTGTAAGCCCTTAGTCCTCATCTCACCCTGAGAGATGCAGGAAGTCAAAAATAAATGCATCAAAAGAAATAATACAACAGATAGGCTGGAAGAGTGACACAATACCTGAAAACTTCAGGTGTTTCTTACACTGAATCATGAGACACTAGCTACCGCACGACCGACAAACTCAGTACGTACATCGTGTTACATTGTTAGTGTTTTGGCTCAGTTAACTGTTGCATAATGGCGCGATACCAGCAGTCCTTTCTTTTATAAATTTAGCTCGAATGTTTGAATGGGCGGATCCCCTTCCCGTTTTACTGCAATATCTTGTAAGCCGCTGGACGCATCAACACGAAACTTAAAATACCTTTGGCTGCATCAAATGACACCAGCTTGTGTCAAATAAAAATTTCGTAGCTACCATATCCCGGCCGGAGATGACGTCAGAGTGACACCAAAATAAATAGCACCATCGTGTTTCTGAGCTCAAACTGCATCTGATTGACACTTTTTTGTGAAAAATCAACATCGAAATTTGACCTTTTTGTGACCTGACCTCAGCTATATTCAGCTGAAAATGGCCTCAAATGACACAGACGAAAATGCTTTCAAAATATATGGCTGAAATGAACCATACAACATGTACCATTCACCATTACATGTACCATACATGATATAAAATTTATGTAACCTAGGATGACCTAGCAGCCTTGATCTGAAAAATTTGAAGTACAAGTTTGGTAACCAAAGGGTATCTTAGGCATATATAAATGAGTGTGTAAACAAAAAATGAGCCTGATTGGACTTGTTAGCCGGTACTGGTGGCCAGAGACCAACTTGTTGACAAATGTTGATAATTTTAAGCGTGACCTGACCTGTAATGCCATCGGTGACATCAAGTCAATGAAATTAAGCTTTGCTCAAAAGTTTGTGCAGGGTTATCACTTATCAGAAGCCGGTTGAAATTTGATAATCGGCCTAGTAGTTTTGGAGATAGGAGGGGCTCTGTAGACTAGTGTAGAGCCTCCCCTCCTCCCAGTCAGCCGCCTTAACTATGGTACGTCGGACCTACACTATGACTGTCCAATTAAAGCCCAAAATACAAGAAAAGCCAATGCCATACACAGTGGTTTCCGCATGCGATAGGATGAGCGATAAACGATAAACGATAATTATCGCTGTTAAGTAAATCGGTTATCGTTATCGTTTATCGCTAAATTTTCAAAATTATCGCTCATCCATTTATCGCTAGTTACAAAAATTATGAACGATAAACGATAAAATGTAAAACGGGATGATGGAAAAATGGAAGATGATCGACACTGTATGCCGCGCGACAGTACTTATGTGTGCACAACCTGTTCCCATCTGCTAGTTCCCATCCCATCTGTTACCATTCTACCAACCATTCCCATCTGTTAGTGTACAGATCTGTCAGACGGCCGACGGGTGGTATAAATTTGCGCTGCGGACCGGGCAGACGCAGAGGTCAGTCACAGGCAGGGTTACCAAAGCTTGGGATTTGTCCCAAGATCTTGGGATATTGAACCCGACCTTGGGACCTTGGGATTCAACAGCAAACCTTGGGATTTGTCCCGAGCTTACGACTCCCGCTAATTTTAGCACATTTTTTAATCATTGGAAAAAGGAAAAGTATTAATAAAGACCAAACAAAGGAATCAGGAACACATCTAACACAACTTAATTGTTTTTTTTTTGTAAACCGTCTTTTTGGACGAACACAACCGAGCGTTCTTTCGTTTGGTTTCACTGTACGGCCCTCCAGGTATTAAGTGGTTGGTTGCCATCATCACAATAATCGATCTGCATTGATGAATACGTCTAATGGCTGTTGAAAACCATTGCCGAAGTGTGTGCACGAACCCTCTTGTCATTTCTATTGAGTCATTTTACAGGAGTGTCTCTGTCATTCAAAGTTATTGCACCAAAAGCACATAGGCTAACCAACCACTCTTTTGCTGGAGGGCCGTACCTTACCAAGCAACCAACGAAGCACGAATAAGTTATCCTTCTTTGACGCGTCTTCACTTTGTTTCTCCCGTCTCAGCTCTCAAGTGAGGCAGTTAGCGAAATACCCAGTGGCTTCCGCGTCGTAACACCCGGCCTGGCCGCCTGTTTGCGAATTGCGACGCCCGACGGATCGGAGGCGGATCCAGCTCAGAGTTTTTTTGGGGGGGGGGCAAACCATAAAATTTATCGATTTTTTCCATGCATCGTCCATAGGTGTAATGTTAAAATTATGCCGTTTGGGGGGGGGGCAAATGCCCATTTTGCCCCCCTCCCCCTGGATCCGCCACTGCGACGGATCATGCTTCAACTCGTATCGTATTGCGGCCGGCGGGCGGCGGCGACGCCCTCGACCCGTCTCGAGTTCGGCTCGTCTTTCTGGAGAGTGGAGGGTGCAGGCTCAGAAGGTCAGAAGTCAGAACTCAGTGTCGTCTGTGAGGGAACGTGCAAGGGAGCGACTGCGGCCTTCGTAGCTCTGTAAGTGCCTTTTACAGCAATAGTGCTTGTGAATCGCGGTTTTCTTCTCCTAAACTCTTCATCAAATATTACCTTCTTAAATGTAGTGCGTGGTGATAGCTACATTCTTCTTACGATCAAAAACCGTAGATGTATCATGTATGTGTTTGATTAAAGGGAACGGTACACCTTCCAGATTTTGTTTCCTAATCAAATTTAAATATCATTCATTTCACATACCATTAAACACACATTCGCCGAGGGTAAAATATTGATATTGATTTATTTAGTCAACCAAAGATTTGAAAATACGTCAAATACACTTAATTTGCTCTATATTTGGTTTCTATAGACCTTGGGATGCACATTGGGCGTTGATCCTGTCGACCTTGGGATATGGAGCTCGATTTTGGGAAATTCGCGCGGCGATCTTGGGATTTAGAAAAATTCCCGTTGGTAACCCTGGTCACAGGGGGGTCCAAATAAACTTTAAGTACACTTATTTAAGCTGTATTTCTGATCGCTTTTGTTATTGCTGTTAAAAAAACAATTATCGTTATCATTTTATCGTTTATCGTTTCGTTATCGCTGTTAAAAAAACAATTATCGTTATCGTTTTATCCTTTATCATTTCGTTATCGCTGTTAAAAACAATTATCGTTATTGTTTTATCGTTTTATCGCTATTGCTGTAAATTTTTTGAAAATTTTCTCGTTTATCATTATTGCAAACATTTCTTATCGTTTTATTGTTATCGCAGGTCCGAAAATTCATTATCGCAAAAGCACTGGCCACATAGAAATTGAAATGTGAAACACTTGATGAAGATCAGTTAGCACAGCCAAATCACTAGTGAGTCAATTGCAGATGGATTGAGGGATGCTTTTGTGTTCTATTCTGTATTGCAATTCAAATTATTTTTAAATACCATGGGCCATACCTATGGCCAATTAACCCGGCAGTTGCTGGGGTATTTCGCCACCCACCGTTTGCTGGGGGGGGGGGGGCGTTAAATGCCCCCAGCCAATAACTCGAGAACCAATAGGCGCAGCGAAACGCACGAGGCGGCAAATGAAAGAACGCGACGAGACGCTTCAGATGAGTACTTTAAAGTTGAATTTTGAGGTCACAGGTCGGGTCAAGGTCAGGTCAAACTTCTGAAATCGGGCTTTCAGTAGCATGGACTTCAGGACTTCGCAATGAGCGCCTCTCGTCATAAACTCTGTCAAAACGGTGCACAATCCATCGTATAAGACCTACAAGAGTGTCAGCCCCATGTAGGGGTCAGTCAAGCATAGGTCAGGGTCAAGGTCAGGTCAACCGGGTAGGCACATATCCCCGAAAATCAAAACTGATATTCGCAGCCTGTCACACATGTTTTATGGGGCTTCCATTTTTTGTCAGATCCAAAAAGTGTAAAAATGCACCAAATCTTGTAAATATTCATCAAATGTGACATCTTAAACCAATATTGGTAAGTTAGCACCAAACCAGGAATTTGTTTTACCAAAATAAGAAAAATTTATCACCAAAATAGGAATTTTCAGGCAACTCCATTTTTAGGGAAAACCCTACCAAATGAAGTACAAATTTACCAAAAAGTGAATTCCTTCCACCAAATACATGCAAGAATGCACCAATTTTAGTAGGAATGTTTTATCTACTGGATCAAATGGTATAATTTCAGTAGAATTTCTGGCAGCGCTGGCAGCGACTCGGCGTGCCGCGACGCTTCGAAATGGAGCGTCCTCGGTTCGGTAGCGTCCCCTAACCTTTGCTTCGGTCCTTTGGTCGTTGAGTGTCGCGTCGTTCGTTGAGTTGTGTCTCCCAGCGCGGACTTTTTCGAAATTCGGGGAATAGTGCAAACCCGTGTATAATCAAATCAATTCTCCTACAGATCCTCTAGCTTTGCAGTTGTCTTGTAGAGGAAAGCCAGCAATGGAGGAATCGGATGACTCCTTGAGCGAGTTTCAATCCGAGACCACTCCCGAGGGCTGCATTCACGGACCCTGTGTGCGGTCGGACCGCACACAGCCTCCAAGCTCCGCCCACTGCGTCCCTACGTCAGCCTTCCGTCACCGCACCTATGACCGCACACAGCGACCGCTGTGGCCGGTCGGGACTGGCCACAGCGGACCGTCCACCGCACGCAGCCGTGACGTCAGAGCCGCCCGCCTTCCCATCCCCTACCCCCACGCCTGCTGGACGCACCGCACACACCGGACGCAGCAGTGTGCGGTGCCCGTGAACACCCCTCCGCTCAGTTTCGCGTTGGTAGTGGTCAGGGTCAGGATGGCAGAGTGCTACCAAGTGCCAAAAAGCATCGAGGCCAAGGCATTGCCTGCAGGGTTGGCATTTTTGCCGGCAAAAACTAGTTTTTGCCATTTGCCGGTT